TCTCAATAGGGTTCAAAACTTTCTGCAGTTTTGAACTGTAGAACTGGAGGCCATCTTTTGGGCCACTGGGGTGTGGGTCCGTTCTTTAAGCAATGGAATGTTAAGGAGCTTCTCAGAAGGGCAACTAAGTTTCAGCTCTCTCAACAACTCTGGTAGATGGGCAGGCATGGCTAGGATGCCAGGGCAGCATTCGTCATGAAAGAAAGAGTAGTGCCAGAGGAGGGTGAAGCTGATGGTGGGCACAGGTTACAGGAGAGCTGGCAGATAGATTCCTCATGTGTTTGCTGAAGCTGTTCCCATTGCCCAGAACAACGCTGTCCTTAAAATCCCATCACCATCTTTGACGCCAGTGCAAATCCTGATTTTTTAAAGTCAACCGCAGACCCTACCCCAGTAAGAATTATTGTCTCCCCGATATCCTGAGAGCACTATGATAGAACTTCTAGTCCAGTATTTATACCATCCTGACTTGGACTAAATGATGTGTGTATGAATCTGTCTGCCCTGTTGGGTGGTGAGACCCCAGAAGGCAAAGGTTTTTGTCTTATTCATCTTTATAGCTTTCATAAGAGCTAGAACGGTGCCTGGAGTATATCATGTGCTCAACAAAGGCTTGTTGGCTAAATTCAAAGGAGTAACAGAGGGTCAGATCTAAAAAAATTAAGGATATACTTCCCATTGAAATTATTTTCCTTGAAATACTTTATATAAACACCTGTCTGAGCAGAACCATCAACCTGTAAGAAGTGGTTTAAACTCTCCGTTCTTCGTATTGTTTTACAAAACTAAACAATGAAAGATATTGATGGATTTTAGACCACCACCCAAGTTTATATTCAGCCACCGTCTTCTTTGAGAAGTGGCTTTAAATTGTTTTTCTGCTCTTGGAAGATAATTTGGCATTTTACTACAGGTTAGTTCTAAATTCTGAAAAAAAACGTTTAAATTATTGTGAATCATTCCTCCTACTGTATTCCATTCCAGAGCTATAAAAATGTCAATAGTCAAGGCAGTTTGAGCATTACATCAGGGAATTAATCATTGCCCCACATGCCTCGTGAGAACACACTCAATGCACAGGAAGTAGCACAGTGTCAAAATCGACACGTATCAGTACTTCAATCAGAAATCCTGTTAACGCTACCTTCCCCCAAAATCATTTCAGGCAGATAAAGCAGGAAGACTGCAGATACAGGTTTTTTTTTTAATCTCTTTTCAAAGCTGTATAGAAATAGAATTCACTTCGAGGAGCCATCACAGACTTCCCTCTGTGGAACGTGAATAAAGACTTTGGTTCGACTTTCTGCAAACTTTGTAACTAGCTTTGGCATGAGCCTTCCTCAAAGAACCATGCTTCTGAAAAGAGTTTCAACTCTTGCTGTTGCATAAGGAGAAGGGAAGGAATAGACGTTACATCAGCCTTGGTGCTGAGCATATTCATGATTTAACTTCTGTGGCCTCACAGCAGGGAGGAAAGAGATGGAGAACTATACAGCAGTGAATCCCAGACACCCTAGTGGAAAGAACTACTGTTATTTTATGTACTACTAGGAAAGAAAAACACTGCCAATTAAATTATGACACACCGTTGACTGTAGGACATGCTTTGATTTCAGAGACGTTACAATGGGAAAACCTGTGCATCTCAGAACAGACGAGCTGTGGATTTTAAACAGTGCTAATGAGTTCCTCTGCATTTCATGCAAAAATAATAATAAGCCCCAGAATGCATAAAATGCTAGCCTTGAATTTGACCTTCCTTCGGACAGTCTCCTCCATCTTCTCCAGGATTCACAGCTAAGTGGTTTTGGGAACAAGCGAAATAAAACCAAGCACTTCCTATGGTCCCTTCCTGAGGGGTCTGCAAGACTGAGTTGCCAGATAAGATACAGGATGTCCAGTTACTTTTGAATTTCAGATAAATGACGAATATTTTTTGGTATAAGTATGTCCCCAATACTGCATGAGATACAGTAAAACAAATTAACTGAGTGCCCTGTATTTTTATTTGCTAAATCTGGCAGCTGTGCTCCCAGGGTAATTCTGACTGCATTTGACCTTCACCACATGCTTTTTACTTTAAGGACCTTAACCTTTACCTGTCAGGAGCCTCCAGTAATACTTCGGTCACTTCTTACAACAACTCTGAGAGGTAGGAATTATTGCTGGTATTTTAGGGCTGAAGGAGCTAAATTTCCTCCTCAGACTTGAATGTCTCATTAGATTAGTTTGGTTTGGTTTGAACTCTGATCACGGCTGTTAATCCTTTCACACAGTAGTTAAGGTCCAAAAGATAAAGGTCCCTGGGAAACCATGAGGATGGTAAAGGCACTTTTACCCCTGGAAACAACCTCTGTGGGTTGGTCATTGGTCACTGTCAGGGGACAGTATATCCAGCATATAATAATAATAACAATAATAATGATAATAATAGTCATGGTAGCAGCAGCAGCAAACCCTCAGCACCTCTTACTACGTGTCACGCACATCACTAATCACACCTCCTACTACTCCCTTTTTACAGTTCCAGAGCAGGGTTTGCAAAGGAAAGCCTCCATACTGTCGACTGAGTCGTAGGCAACGGGTTTAAAGGCAAAGGTATTATTTCTGTTACGTGTATGGCCTCTGTCTATACACACAATCTTCTCTCAAATGCACTGCTTCTCAAGTGCCTGAGAAGTTTGAAAAGAATCCCCACACCCAGGCTGCCCCCCAGACCAATTAAATCAGAATCCCTGGGGCGGAGCCAGGCATCTGTAGTTTTTAAAGTTCTCTATCTGATTGCAGTGGGCAGCCGCGGTTGAGCACAGCCGTTCTAAGGAAAGCTACACACTTCCATCTGGGGCTTTTAGGAGGGAAACCCCTAAGTTGTAAAAACCATATACAACAGAGCTTTGCAAATACAATTAGTTTTTGTTTTACTTATTTCCTGTTTTCCATAGACAACTTATAAGCGTTGGCACAACGTTGCCATCTGTAAGGCATATGACAATAGCAGACGGGAGCTTAATAACCGAAGAGGCATTAACATTTGCAGGCCCTAAATTATTTGCGCTCGTCTGGTACGATCTGTGTGACGAGACCACTTAATGCTGGATTTCAGCACCAGAAGTGGGAAGGCCATATTGCCTGGGCTTCGCATCGTTCCTTGTCATCCTACTGAATTGTTACAAGGTGGATTTATAACAGACCTAAAGCTAGTATCAAAATGAAAATCAGTTCCTGAGTAGAAAAATCGCAATCCCCTTTGCCTCGCCTGTAGCCATTGCGTCATATCTGCTTCTGCAAGGAGGGAAATGACTTTTTAATGTGGTTTTCTTCCACTAAGGAGAATTAAATCTATGTGGCAAAACGTAAAACCAGCGTGCTGGCAGCCAGATTCTGAGCGGAAGATCCATGACATGTTTGTGTCCTGGTTATATGCTAATGAAACTCATTTAGGCTCAAACTTACGCCGAGTAGAAATAGTGCTCAGCTGGAGGGCCAGGCTATCTTTGTTCCCTCACTGTTTTGCCTTCTGTATCAAAGTTTGCTCTGAAATAATGGGGACATTTCTCCATCGGCTGCAAGCTGCCAGGGTAGGGGGCGGGGGGGTGTCTCTGGGTTAGAGTGAGAATGAGTTGGGCCTGAAATAGCAAACGCCACTATTTTAGTCGTGAGGCTTTTTTTCCTGAGTCAGCAGGCTCCTTTGTCAAAGGATCTGGCTTTTGGGTGACGGTACCCGGTGAGCTGCAGCAGGATCTGTGGAGCTGTTCGCTCTTCGGTGGCACTGCACTTCCTCCAGGATAGACTAAAAGGCAAAATTTGCCGGGGACACCCCTGGCACTACTGCTCCTTGCTGGGTGATCTCCAGTAGGTGAATGAACTTCCTCAGAACTCAATTTCTTCCTTGGTGAGGAGTGAAGCAGTGCCTGCCTTGTGTATGGACTATTGTAAGGATTAAACGAAATGATGCACAAGGAAATAATGCGTGAAGAAGAAACCTCCCTTTACATCATGAATACTAGTTATCATTGGTGCTATTAGTTTGCCTCAATCTCCCTAAATGACTTAACACGAAATAGTACATTGTGCCTCCTGTAAGAATTTATACCCTCAGCATTTTACAGTGTGTAGAGCCACGCACAGGAATAACAAATTTAGTTAATAAAACTAAATTGCAATCGGAGACTAAGGTGAAAAACTGACCTCTTCTAAAGAAGAGAGTTCCGACAACACCCTCTCTCTCTCTCTCTGATAGAATTGAAATTTTATTCACTCAATATGTAAATCTGAGACATATACAAAATGTTTTTTAAATAAATATGGGTGTCTGAAGAGGATTTTAAAAGGGTTCCTTTGTCTAAGACCAACTGTTATTTTTTGAGGCTTCCTCATTTAATTTTTTATTTAGTTTTTCTTTGTTTTTTACCGTTTGCCTGCTTGAAGCCTCTTTTAAGGCATGTACTCTTTTATTTCTTACTCAGTACTCATGGCCCTTCTATTCATTATTCTCATAAATTAGCCCGGGCTGTTTTGGCTCGCTGAGCAAAACCGCTCAGAGCTCATATAACAGAGGCTAAGCCAAAGAGAAGAGGACGTAAACCCCAGGCCAGCTTGGGGAACGCCTGTGGGTAGGTGGCAAACGTAATGCCTTCAGCGTCTGGGAAGTAAAACGAATGGATGATGCCGGCCAAGCGCAATGTTTGAGAGTGGTGAGGGTTTTGGTAAATGCAGAATGTCCCCCGTCTGTGACGCCCACTCCCAACCTCAGCAGATAATTACAAGGCGGTGACGGGACCACATGTAGCAGCCTAATCTAGTTATTGTATTACAAAGGCTGGAAATGTGGATTTGTACACAAAACCTCCCCATTTTCAAATTCTGGCAACTACTACAATGAAAACAAAGACACACGCGCCCCCGGCCTCTGATTTGCGAATGCTGTTCGGCCGCTCCCCCAAGACTTTTTCACGGAGATCCCAAGGGCCTATTATTGAGCCTAGTTTTCTTCTCCAAAGCTCCAGAAACATGACAACGAGAAGGAGGACTCCCCAGCCTTGTGGAGATCGGAAGAGGAGATGGCAGCCGAAGCCGCGGCGCTGCGTGGCTACTTTCAGTGACGCAGGTAAAGACCGTACGTTTACTTCATCATCACTCAGAACCCCACCCCCCTCAAGAGCCTCACTCAAGAAATAATGAGGATTGGGCTTCCCTGGTGGCGCAGTGGTTGACAGTCCGCCTGCCGATGCAGGGGACGCGGGTTCGTGCCCCGGTCGGGAGGATCCCACATGCCGCGGAGCAGCTGGGCCCGTGAGCCATGGCCACTGAGCTTGCGCGTCCGGAGCCTGTGCTCCGCAACGGGAGAGGCCACAACAGTGAGGGGCCCGTGTACCGAAAAGAAATAATGAGGATGCAGAAAAGCAGCCGCACCCACTTTCTACAGTGGTGGTTGCACAAACATTAAAGCCCGAGTGGAGAGGGCCCTGACCCTTGAGGCACTTGGTCCAACCTCTGGGTCTCTCTTCCTGACTCCCCATCACCTTCTACACACCGCTCCGGTCTGTTCCCTTCCTTCCAGCCCACCCCAGGCCCTTGTCCCCTCTGTCCTCTCCATTCCTGCCCCTCCGCAAGCCAATCTCCGCACAGCAGCTGGAGGTAGTTTGTAAGGAAGGCAAACCCGATCCTTTAAAACATCAAAACCCTTCCAGGGGGTCCCACTGCCCTCAGGCTCAACTCTCAGACTCCCGTCAGGCTGCAGGGAGCCCTGAAACAGCTCCGCCACACCCAGGCAGGCTCTCCTTTCGCTTGGGCCTCCTCTCCTGGCTGCTATTCGGTAAACTGGCCCCTTGGCTTTGGCTGCCGGGAAGCTCAGGCCAGGCAAAGAGAATTCTCTCTTTCCGTTAATGATGTTTTACTATTGGGAGATCACAGATTCAAGACTCTGACAGAAAGCTATAGCCAATCTCCTTTCCACAGTTTTACACAATGTCAAGGGACTCGTGCATCTTGTGAAATGTCTTAATAAATAGTGTGCCCATGAAATCTTGGGGCCTACCTTGAGTAAAAAAAATTATTCATTTTCTGAAATTCAAATTTATCCGGGTCCTGTATTTTATCTGGCACCCCTGTTAATAAACCTTCTTAGGAATTATGGACCCCAGATAAAGAGCCTCCTCTCTAAATTGTTTTTCTTTTCTAAAATCGTCTGCTTCATCTGGTCTTGTGTGAATGCGTTTATGTTATAAGCAGCTGAAGTAGATCAGATACAAATGAAAAATGCAATTAGTGAACAAATACTGGTAGCAGTTGAATCATGTCAAATTGTATCAACCACTTGGTAGTTATGACTTTGAGCTAGAAAACACAGTGGTTGCAGTATTATGTTTTCATTTGGAAATGTAAGTCTATTTTGGTGAGTTTAAAATACATGTGCATTTCTTGGTCTTTCTCTCCCCACCTCCTCTTTAAAGACCCCGTGTCAGCTACCTCCCCCTCCATTACTGTTCACGTATGCTGTGTGCTCAGGCCCTTGCATTCTAGAAAGCTTATTTCACTCTCCCATGTCACTGGCTTGTCAGCTCTGCACCCAGTTGCCTGAAGGGATATAGCGTGGTGGTAGCAGAAGCTGTCTTTGATATTTTATTTTTACCCTTTTCCACCGCTGTTCACCTTCTCATCTCTCCCCTTCTCTCCTCCACCTCCCCTTAGGATCTAGCTAGTTTACCTAAGAACATAGGCCTATGGGCATGAATGCAAACCCTGTTCTATTCCTCTTCTGAAAGCCGGTGTGTCATTTTGGGATGTCCTGTTCAAACGGGGTCACCATTCTTCAGACTCAACTTTCTAGGCTGAATTTTTTTCTTTTTGGGTTTCTTATGTAATGGGCACTTTCAGGGAGAGGCAGGAAAGCTCCAGGCTGTTCCTGAGGCCTGCTGAATTGTAGGGTTCTATCTTACGAGTGTTTTCTAGACTGTTTGTTTAGAGAATGTAAACTTCTTACCCAAGTTTCCTGTACACTCTGCTTTGTCAGCTTTTGCTTCTGTCTTGCCTTGAGGCCTAACGCGCCTGTCTGCCAGGTGATTCAACTTGCCTCATAAGTCTTGCCAGAAAGATATCCACCGTAACTGGTCACACAGACTGTTGCCAGAGAGCCTGTGCATTTCTCAATGAACTAACATTAACCTCTCTCTTTAAGGGTCTTTCGCTACAGACGAAACAAACCACCTTCAGTTCTCCCAGCAGTCAGACGTGGCGAATGAGGACAGGAGGGATAATGCGGCCAGTGAGCGCACAGCTAGTAACGTGGCGGTGAGGGACTTAAACACGGGCCCTAAGATTTCACCAAGAGCATCCTCACCCGCTGTAGCGTGAGACAGGGACTGTATATCGTTCTCTTTAGAGACAAAGGGGAAAGGAAACATTCATCTAGGAAACCTGATCATGGAGTTGGTCCACCTGGATCTTTGATACCCACTCTCCTCCCTTTTCAGCGCGCACCTATCCACCGAATGTTTACACAATGTTAAGGGGTTCGTGGAACTTTCTGCAGTTGGTTAACAAATAGGGCCGTCATGCAAGATATGGACGTCCCTAGACTTACAACGGTATTCAGTATTTATCTGAAATTCAGATAAACTTGGCCTCTCCAAGCTCTCCTGAGTATACCCTCAGCAGCAAGTCCAGTCAGTGTCGGGCAGAGCCAGTTCAAAGGCTCTGATGTCGTTCACTGTGCACAGCTGCACGCTTCACAGCACACACACAGCCAGATACAACGGGGCTCAGCCCCAGGAATTTACAAGACCTGGGTTCTCTTATTTTCCCATCTTGCAGGTGATGACAAAACTGAGACTCACTCAGTGATTTAAGCGTTACTCTAAGGTAAACAGCGAGTAAGTGGTAGAGCTCAGACCTGAACCTAGTTCCACCCCGAAAGCCTTTCCCTTCGTCTCTCACCACCCACCTTTTGCTTGGAAGAGCCCGTGTGTCCAGCCAGCACCGCCACCCTATCCCAGCCCCCCCCTGTACCTTCCAAATCGTCTCTTCAGCCTCTTCACCCGCTCTAATGGCCTCGCCGGCCCTTCGGCGAGGATGGGCCTCCCCTGCTGGGCTTCCTCGCCATCCTGTTCATCACCCTCCAGCACCTGCCTCCCCAGCAGCAGACAGCCAGGCTGCAGTGGGCTGAGCTTGCACCAGCTGACTTCCAGACCTGCCGACTCCTGCCCTCTTTTCTCCACCACTCGACCACGTGCCTACGTCACACGGCCTTGAGCATGGGCAGTGTGTTGCACAAATTTCATTTATTCCCATTTTGTCATGATTTTTCTCACCTTTGTGAGATTCACCTTTAAAATTTCAGGTTATCTTAAACTTTATATCTTAGCCTCAATGAGAAACAAGTATTACTTATTATTAGAAGTTAAGCATAAAAAAAAAAAAAAAAACCATGGAAGAAAAACAGTGCGGATGAATTCCAGCTCTGCATAGTTGCTTGCCTGTTGCTATCAGGACTGAGGTTGCTGGTCATCCTTAGAGAGGTTGGCACCAAACCAAGGCTCTCCATTTGCCCTATTCAAAAGGATTAAAAGAGAATTACCTACAGAGGGATTCAGTGTAGATCAGCTAAAATGATCTTAAACAGCCCAACGATACCCATCTTTGGAAAACAGCAGTAGAGGTCAGAATCCAAAACCTGACCAAGCTGACTCCAGACCTGCTCCAGCCCCCAAGCTAGTTCTCCCCGTGTCTCTCCCCCGGCACAGGGAGAAGCACGCGGGAGGCCAGAGCGAGCTTCCCTGGGGATGCGAGGCCGCTATCTGGTACCTAGATGAAGGACTCCAGGCAGGAAGCCCTGCACCACACCCACAGGCACGCTCAGTCTCTGGGCCGATTGGATCTGTTTGCCATTCGTCTACCTTAACGACCAGCGTACTGCCGAGAAGAATGTGCAGCCTCGTGCCCAGAGATGCCCTATCTAGGAAACGGGACTGTAATAGGCAAAGAGCTGCTCTCTGCTGAATGCTTGGTAGGGAAGTACCTAGCAACCCCTCAGTAAGTAATCAACCTTGTTCTATAGCTTCTTTATGCATAAACCCAGATTAATCCTCAGCATGGACAAGACCGCCAGAGGACCACAGAGATAAACATTCCCAAACTAGAAACCGTTTCCTCTGCCTCTTGAAGCCATCCTTTGTTTGGTTCCAGGAATTCAGCGTTTGCCTTCTGCTTAGGTGAATTTATGCGTTGCCTCCCCCTATTGGGCTGAGTTCCTGGGTAGGGGTATTGCCTCCCCCTATTGGGCTGAGTCCCTGGGTAGGGGTTCTGTGATGGCTCTTTTAGTGTATGTTATAAATCATATTAGATGACGGTGGATCTGCATTTCTTATCTAACCTTGCATCCTTCCTGGAACATAGTATTTTTCTCTAGGTACTTAGTACTTGGGTTCGCTGCCACTGCACACCCTCGTTTATTATCACCTCCTGTCCCCACTCCCACCCCGTGTTGTAATTGGGTGGGGTGTGGTGTTTGTAAAATATGCAAGCATCACCCCTAACTCTGATAGAAAGTCAGAGCAGAGCAGGTCTCCACACCCTGCTGTGTCAGCAGAGTTCGTGTGTAATTCATCAGACTCTCCTCTGTGCTTGCCATTACTTTATAGATAGTTGGTTGCCTCTCATTTACTTATTACACAGCCGTGCAATTTCAAAGCAACTGAGTCAGCCCAAAACAGAATTATTAGTAGCTACAGATGTACTGTCAAAGCAAAATTTTGACACTAGAATTTTTGAAAAAAATCACCATAATTTCAGCCACTGGACCACACGTATCATAATCATGGATAGTCAAAGTGGACGAGAAAGGACAGGTTAACTTATTTAGCACACGTTCTGGTCACTGAACTGTACCTTTTGAAATCCACCCCAACAGCTTAGAAAAAAATCTCAGCCTTCTCCAAGAGGGTCTCCTCTCAACTCAGCAGCCTCCAGTGAGAAAGACCCAAGGAGCAGATCATAGTATTCATGTTTCCTCAGGGAAGAGGAAGAGTTAACTTCAGCTCCTTGGCCAATTCAGTCCTAAACCCACTAGGTAATCCCCACGTCGGGGTGTCTTCAATACCAAGGAAAGTG